CCATATTTTAAAAAGTTTTTCTTTATATTGCATTTGTTTTATACTGCTTTATATTGAAATGAGTTCAGTTAAGTTGAGTTGAGTTGAGCTAGGTAAGTTCTTCAGTTCTTTTCAAGCTTATGTCTTGTTTTAGAATTCCCCGCCCCTACTCGTACATTCAATGTACTGATGTCATTTGACATGTATCTTCTTATGATGCAGACACATGTAACCAGGATCAATATCCAGCGCATCGTTGATCCAATTGAGCACTCAAAGTCTTGTTGCTCGCCTCCTTGCTTTTCAGAGGATTTTTTTTATTGCTTTGAGTATTAGATAGTTCATTAGAATGTCGTGGGTCTTGTCCCGACATCCATCTCAGTTGTTTAGAGGCTTTATAGATAGTTAGTCAGATGTTAGTTCATTCATCATTATCTTGGTATTGGCTTATGTTCAAATTTGAGTTGCCCATTTGGCTAAGTTAAGTGTTGATTTCTGAAACATTTTGAGTTTAGTTTTGAGACTGTTGAGTTATATTGTATTTGGATTCAATGTACTGATGTCATTTGACATATATCTTCTTATGATGCAGACACAGGTAACCAGATCAGCATCCAGCACATCGTTGATCCAATTGAGCACTTAGAGTCTTGTTGTGAGCCTCATTTCTTTTCGGAGGATCCCTTTTTATTGCTTTGAGTATTAGATATTTCATTAGGATGTCGTGGGTCTTGTCCCGACATCCATCTCAGTTGTTTATAGGCTTCATAGATAGTTAATCAGTTGTTAGTTCATTCGTCATTATCTTGTTATTGGCTTATGTTTAGATTTGAGTTGCCCCTTTGGCTAAGTTAAATGTTGATTTCTGAAACATTTTGAGTTTAGTTTTGAGACTGTTGAGTTATCTTGTATTTGGATTCTCTTTCTTATGCTTAAGTCTTCCGCTGAGTAAGTAAGTCAGGCCAGGGTTCGCTTGGGGCCAACAATGGTTCTCGAGTGCCAGTCCATGCCCAGGATGTAGGCTCAGGAAATGACATAATCATTGAATGTAAAACGTTTTACACGAAATAGGTGTACGTTGACAACATAAATAATTTTTAGCGGTAAAAAATAGACATATTAATTTAATAAAGAGTGTTAAAGTCTTTATCAACATTAGTTAATTTTCATTAGATCTAATGTCCTAAAGGCTTTAGGGACATATACAAGAGTACTAATTGCCGCTAAAAATACATATTTAGCGGCAATTAAGATATTGCCGTTAATTAATTGCCGCTATAAATTATTTTTGATATAGTAACTAGAGTTACGATAAAATAATAAGTATTCATTCATCTTTAATTATAGATTTCAAATTTGAGCTCTGAATATAAATTACTTTTATAAAGATTAAATTTACCGTGAGACTTTGACGTGAAACCTGATATAATCAAGTCACCGTACAATATGCGTGAAGAGTCCAACATATATCATTCCTATAAGAGATGAGCGATCTTTTTAATATGATTTGAATTATTCTGATTTCTTAAACTAACTTTTGAATTTGAATTACACTTGAGATCTATTATAAGTATCGAACGTTGCGTGAGGAAAAAAACATATTCTTAAGGACAACATGCAACCAAATGAAACCTATATTGATACAAAACAAATAAATCAATTCTGCCAAATTCCTATTGACATACATAAAAAAATAAAATCCTTGATGTTTAATTTAGATCATGATCTCTAAATCAATTGCTTTGGACGAAATTACTATTGGATGTAAATTAAAAAATTAGAAAAAAAAATACATATTAAAGTTATATTGTTGGATGAAAAATTAGTACTTTATTGATGTTGATCCCCAAAAAATAAAAAATAAAAAGAAACTATGGTAGTTATTTATAGCTTTGCCTTGAATAATCAATTGTGTATTGTGAAACTTGAATAGTCAACTGCGCGCCATCACTCAATGCATTGTCACTACGGAAAAAAATGTTAAATTTTTCAAATGTCTAGTGATTATTTTTTTTAGATATTTTAATTAAACTGATTAGGAAAGAAAAAAATAGGAATTATATTTTTATATGGCAAAATTGAATAGTCAATTGATAAGTATCTCAGTAATTTTAGAGTGTGGAGGCTGATTTAACATAATACACGTTTGGATAGAAGAATTAAAAATGAAAATAAGCAATTAAAATATTTGATAAAAAGAAATATCAATAAATATATTTCTATAAAATAACTTGCACGTCCTGAAACTAATTATAAGAGACGAGTTAGTGCAAAAAAATGAATTTCAAATTGATTGAACATCAAATAAATTATCTTTTCAAGTTACTTTTTTTAGTTTTAAATTAGCTAGATATATAATATTAAATTTTAGAAATATAAATTATTTTATGATGAACTTATAAGTTTACAAAATCCCTATTAATCTATAGTCTACCATTAATACAAGCTACCCATTTTGCTTATGATAGTGACTAGTGAGTGCTATATTATTAAAAATGTCAGGATATAGTATAGTAATAATAATCTATTTATTTAACAATTTAAATTTTTAGATAAACTGATCATATACTTTAATATAAAAAAAAACACTAATATTTTCTAGCTAGATGTGAAATTTTGATGTTAACTATTTTTTTTTCTGAGCGTTTGAATGAGTTGTGAAGAATTTTTTTTAGAAATGTTTTTTGTTTTATTTGTTGCAAACAAAATTATTTTTTTCAAAAAATACTCGTTAAATAAAGAATAGTTTTTGGGAACAATTTTCTATACAAAATTATATAGCAATGAGTTGTAGCTTATCCTTTTAAAAAAGGCCTTTGATCACTGCCACATGTTTTTTTTTTTGAACTTTTTTATCCTAAATGTTAAGAAATACCTCAACAAACTTTATGGGAAAAAGCAGATTGATAACCTAACATATTGGAATAGCATGAAAGACATAATTGTCCGCTCCCGATGCACAAAGTATTCCATGTTTACACATTACTCGAATAAGGATTGCATTTCAAAGAGTATAATTTAGATAGGCTATTTTAATACAAGTATCAACCCCATGTTCCTAGCAAAAATCACATCCCAAAGAGTATGATTTAAACCGACTATATTTTGCACAAACATTAACAACTGATTTCACTGCTCGAACCAGCATGCATTCTAGAGTGTAATTTAGGCATCCTATCCTAACACAAGTTTGAATATAGTGCCTGAAATTCTTCTCAAATCTCTTATATGTAGGTCACATAGAGACAATTTTATCATTACCTCAAAACTCCGCCTTGAAAACAAGTCAATACAAATACTAATTACCATTAATATCCAATTAACCTTTTCTAATTCCTTAGTAAAATATAGTTAATTTATGAACAAAGTAGTCCTTACCCCCATGACCCCACTCTCTATCTCATCAAATGAGAACTCCATTATTTTCCTTCTAATCTGTTGCTTTCTTCGATTAGGTATATAGCTATTGTACTGATGTCTAATTAGGAATCTGAATGAATATAGCACTAGAAGAAGAAACTCACATGAATCTTTTTCTTTGTTTTTCTATTTTTTGTATTATTGCATGCATGGTATTTAGATTTTAGAAGATCTGCCTTTCTTTCAAATAGATTTATGTCCATGCTTTCTAGACATTATTTAAGAGATTTTTTTTTTACTCTAAGTAGTCGTTTAGTGTGAGATATAAGGACGTATAATAATCTGAATAAAATGCAAGATTATTTTATCTCACATTTGATTGGAGGTGTTAGGTAGTCCTTGGCTCCTTGGATTATTTAATTGTCTCACCATTTTTGCTATAGTGATTTATCACATATACATGATGAAATAACTTATTCCGAAATAACTTGTTTGTTAAATTAGGTCTTAGGCCTAACTCACACCCCAAAAGCTAGCTCAAAGGGAGGAGGATTGCCCAAGCCTTATAAGGAGTCCACCCATCTCATTAACCACCGATGTGGGACTTTTGTCATCCTTTAACATTGTTCCTAACCAAACGACCCTTAAGGGTGTGTATGATACAAAGGAAAATGTTTTAATAGATTTTTTTTTTTCTTGAAAAAAAAAGTAGAGTTCATATAGTTATATTTTTAGTATTTGATAACTAAGAAAATGAACAGTATCCAAGAGCATTTATACAGAATTCAGAAAACACTATGAAAGTGGGATGTGATAGAAAGTGGGGATTACGGATTAGGATGGTTAAGGGGTGAAGGTTAAGGACGTTAAGTGGGTGATGAGAAGACAATAAACTTGAAATATCACTTTTGAATCTTGTTTTCCCTATTGATTTCCGAAAGAAAATATTTTTAACCAGCCGCCTTATAGTGCTCTTAAATGTGCCATTAAAAGAAAACTCACAAGAAAAAGTTTGAAAAACGCACACAAACAGTAGTAGTTTAATAATTAAAGATGGCTATAAATGACAAACCTATACTAATTATGGTCATATTCTAAACGTTTATGAAATTACTTTTTCACTTTTTCCTCGTTGAAAAAACTATAAAAAAAAAATCCAACTTCCACCACCCACACTTTCACATGTTTTTGGCATGTTTAATGAAAAACCATTTACATGCCACTTACTTTTCCACCCTAAATTTTTTTTTTTTTTTCTAATGGTGAGCCAAAACTAACAAAATATCCGCCAAGACTTTGACAAATGAGAGTAGAATACCAAAGGGATTTGTGTTCAAGCAAGTTTCAATACTACCATTCTTTTAATATCATCAAGAATCATAAGACCATAATAACCAACATTTCTCTAAAAGGATATAAGATTAGGTTCAAGATCTCTAGGCACATGAATGTCGCTCAAACTCTCAAAACAAGTTGTCACACTCGTGTCAAATCCTCCAAAAAAAAATGCACCAACTTTTGAAAGATTTGACATGCAACTGTCGATATTTTTGAAGAGTGAAGCAACATAACATGTTACTTGATTAGCTTCATGCTAGACTTACAAAAAACCTGGACTTAAGATTCTAGAGAAGTAACTCAAGAACACTAATAACACCAAGTAACAATATGAAAAAACTAGCATAAGCAAAAGAGATTTAAGCTTACAAAGCGATTCATCTAGCTTTCTTTTGACAAACATGTATACTATAAACAGATATAGGAAAGAATTACCGCTACTTTGTCAATAGCTAGTTATTTTCTCTATTCCTAGACTGAACTGTTGTATACCAAAACCTTTGCAGAAACAAAGAAATGGAATGTAGACTAAAATGATATTGCCTTTGTTATCCTACGGATCGATGAGTATGTCTAGAGAGAGTTTGATTCACCAGAAAATGCAGCCATTAGCTTTTCCTTCGTTAGCTGTTCGGATCCATTGGACTTGACCACAAATGTATGATATACTGTATCATTCCCCACGGCAAGTTTTGACTCAACAACGCTGACCTGTACCTCTTTGAACGCTTCAACGACTTTTGCTACAGGATGGGTTCCCAGTGGGCATCTAGCTCTTACAATGACTTCATCACTGGCAGCTTCAATGTTGATATCAGCTGCTTCCACAGAGGTGCTTCCTAGCCTTTCCAGCTCATATTCCGCGTCCCTAATCTTCTTCTGCATGTCAGTGATGTGAGCAATGGCATCTCCTAAGAGGGAAGCTTTGTCCATTTTGGAAATATTTGGAACAACAGCTCGTAATGCATAGAACCGCTGGTTCAGCTTTTCCCTCCGTTGCCTCTCAGCTTCTACATGATTGAGGGGCTCTTCCCTTCCATTGGCTGGTTTTCTTCCACGCTTTCGAGGCCTCCTTTCATCAGCTGGTCCTGCATGGTTTTCCTTACATGAAACTTCAACATCTGAATGCTCGGATTCAACAGTGGGCACTGGAGAAACAACGGGTCTTGAGTTGGTGAAATCTATTTGCATTCTACCAGGCTTTTGATGCTGGAGGCTATTTAACCGGAGCTCTTCCCTTCCACCATTGACAAACTCTCGTAAGTTGTTTGGTGGTGCCTGAGGACTATAGAGCTCCACGGAGTTCCCTGGCTTCACATTACCAAATGAAGCCCATGCTACGGGGTGTACACCATTTTGTGTATTTATGATGGGAGCCCTGTTTCCATTTCTGTACATTTCCAGTGGCCTATCCACCGGTTTCCTGACAGCAAGTTTTTCCCTAAACTCGGTAGAACCAGATTTTAAATTCTGCCCAAAAATCTTAGGATTTCCCTTTGACTGCTCAAAAGGAAAAGAGCTGGGAAACATAGAATTGTTTCCATTTTTTTTCTCAGTTACATCTGCTACAGATGCCGCTTGCTTAGCCCTAACTTGTGCCAAAAACGACGAGAAGCAAGATTTTATTGAATGTACAAGCTCCAAACTTTCTGGTATAGTTCGTACAGATCCCAATTCCACTACCCCTATATCAGTTGGGATCAAAACAACTGTTTGCATACCAGCAGACTTCATCAGAAAAGATCTGGAACAATAATCTACAGACGACCTCATAATATCCGATAACCACACATGTTTACCAGCACTAAAACACTTCCCCGGACCACCTTGCCCTCGAGGAAACGAAAAGTACATTGAAGCAAGAAAGAACATTTCAGTATCGGTGACTTTATCCAATCCAAACACATAGTTATCTTCATCTGTTCCACCAAAAAACATATGCAACTTCTGAAGAACCCTTTTCCTCATCCTTTGTTGAGCCTCATCAGCGAGGCGTAGATTAAGAATCCTAGTAAGTTCAGATTCCTCTCCTTCCCTAGCTTCCCTACAACAACCATCTCCCCATCCTAACACCAACTCCCCCAACTTAGACCGCGAAATCTGCCAAAAAATGGCGTAATTCCAACTAAAATTACTTGCATTCGGACGTTCCACAAGATCTGACAGCTTATTCTGCAAATTCTCATCACTCCCCATTGCCATTAAAGAACATTCAGCAGAAACTAAACTAGACATCAAGTAATCAAAAGCTTTTGTTCCTAATACAGCTGCCACCATAGTCTTATCCTCATCACTCCACAACATAGTCATTTCTAACAAAACCCCAGATGCTAAAAACTTCCAACTCTCCTCCAATTTGATATAAACCCCACAATAAATTTCAAAAAACAAACAAACAATCTTTTTTAATCAAATCCAAAACAAAACCTATCTCACCCCTCAAAAAAGATTCAATCTTTCTTCTTTAAATATCCAAAATTCAACAACCCCACATTCAGATCTCAAAATCTTGAAACCCCAAGTAACCATTAACTATATAAAGACAAAATACCCAGAAATTATATGAACTTGAATATAAAAAAATGAACATAAAAGAGAAAAACAAACCAGTTTTTGCAGTTCAAGAAGCAGTAGAGCAAGCAAAAACTCTTATCACCCTTATGAGGAATTTGAGAAATCCTCAAACTAAAAAATTCAAATTTGCTCAAACATCATTTTTTTTTTTTTTTATCTTTGCAAAAGAAAAGAGGGAAGATAGGAGATTGGAGAAGAGGGCATTAAGGGGATGTTTCTTCTAAATCCAAACTGCATGTTGTATAAACTATGGTTTTAGGTTTTTAAAGAGTTAAATAGATAACCATGGTTGGGCTTGTATTAAGAGTGTGTCTCAATGGACTTATAACTCGTGACTTATAAGCATAACACTTGTGACATATAATACTAATTTATGATTTTTTATAATTATTTAAAAGTTGTAAAAGTACTTAAAACCACATAAATTAAATCAAACAAGGTTTAAGTCATAAAAGTTTTTAACTTATTTTTATTATTTTTAATTTAAATTATATTATTTGTATGAGAAACAGTCGGCATGCCTTTTCTGTGAGAGTATTTATTTAAAAAGAGAATAAAAGGGATTTTATTTAATGAGGAAAAGGAGAAGTTTCACTTTGACACGTTTTGTAAGATGGGATGACACAAACATGTGCAGCCACATTTATGGCGTGTGTGTATTTTACTTTTTGGGCGTTAACTTTTCAATTAAATTCGAGTTATTTAGTTAGTGATTCAAATTTTATATTTTATTTTTACAATATATTTAATTATTAAATTTGTTCAAATTTTAAAGATTAATCTTTTAAAATTGGATTCGTCGTTAAATTTTATCATATTTTAATAATGTGTGCAGTTTATTTTTTTGAGCAATTTTTTCAATTCAATTCGAGTTTGGTTAGTGATTATGAGACTTATTCTTAAAATAATTTTTAAAGATATATTTAATTATTAAATTTGTTCAAATTTTAAATATTAATCTTTTAAAATTTGATTGATCGTTAAATTTGATCATATTTGAATAACGTGTTCATTTTATTTTTTTGAGCAATTTTTCAATTAAATTCGAGTTTGATTAGTGATTATAAGACTTATTCTTAAAATAATTTTGAGTACAAAATTTATTAGATTTTAAAGACTTACTTTTTCAAAATTTGTTTGATCATTTAGTTTGATGTGTGCATTTTAATTGTTTGAGCAACTCTTCAATCAAATTTGAGTCATTTACTTAGTGATTATTGGTTATGAACCAGATTTTAACTTATTTTCTAAAATACACTCGATCATTAAATTTGATCAGTTTTTTTTTTAAAAATATGACAATTAAATTTGAACGGTATGTGCATTTTTCTTCTTTGAGCAACTATTCAAGCAAATATGAGTTATTTGATAAGTAACCATACGTATGAATTAGACTGACTTATCTTTTAAAATATGTTTGATAGTTAAATTTGATCATATTTTAAAGATTTTTCTTTTAAAATCTATTTAATCATTAAATTTGATTAGACTTGAACTAAATGTGCATTTTACTTTTTGGGCAACTCTTCAATCAAATTCAAGTCATTTAGTTAGTAATCATATGTCATGAATCAATATTTAAATACTATTTTTTAAAATGTCTTTGATTAGATTTGAGTGACATGTGCATTTTTCTTCTTTGAGCAACTCTTCAATCAAGTCCGAGTCATGTAGTTTTAGTGTTTGTAACTACATATTTCATTGTTAATCAAAAGACAATTGCATAGAATTTTGATTATTTTTTTTAAATACGTTGCAAATTAAATTCGAGATGATATGACAAAAATTTTAAAATTTGAATTTGATCCGAGCTCACATCATTCCATCACAACAAACATTTTTTCTTTATGGCACCGCTGCGTAGTAATTGCATGGTTGTTGTAGCGGGCTGACGAGAGAATCCTAGAAAACACGGGCTTTATTATTTTACTCTTATTGTTCAGTTGAAAAAAGATAAGGGTTACTCCAAAAACCCTTCTAGGGTGCTCCAAGCTTGGGAACAGTGGAAATGGAGGATTACAACGCAAAAGGGGTTGAGATTTATTGAGATTCACCTCCACAAAATTAGAAGTTTGTGTTCAGATTTCTTCAACAATTTCTTGAGGTCCAAATTGGCTAGGCTTAACTGAGTAGTTAAATCTATTTCTGATTGCTTAATGCATTGTAAATTTAAGGAGAAATTTCATACATAGGCCTCAAGCACAGAGTCTAAGCGAATAAATGCATTTATTAATTGTTGGTTAGGATTGCATGGTACTTGATTAGTGAATGATGACCTTATGAAAGTTATTTGATGTTATCCTAGGGATGGTAACCTATGGGTCTATGAGCTTAAAATTGTATAGGAAGAGTCTTCTCAAGTAGGTGATGGTTGAATTTGTTTCTCATTTACGTTATGTGTGCATATTAATTATTTCGGTAGTATCACTTGTACAACATGTTGTTAGGGAAATGAAAAAGGATGAAATTGAAATGTTATCTTATTGTCAATCTCATGCAATGAACTTGTAATATTTGTTAGTGTTTTACAAGTGTGATTGTGATTATGTGATGTGTGATTCTTGGTTGGCTTGGGTACCATGCTTGGTACATATTATCGATTGGGGCTCAGATACCATGCTTATTATAAGATATCTCTAGGTTAGCTCGGGTACGATATTTAACACACATTATCGATTGGCTCGGGCAGGGGCGGATTTACGTTGAACCAAGGGGGTTCATCCGAACTCCCATCGTCAAAAAATTACACTATATATATGATTAAATTTTTAATTTATGTGTATATGTATAATATTGAACCCCCTGAACATATACCAAAGGCATAGCTCAGTGGCGTTGGGGGTTCAAGAATTTGCGTTGTTGCACGCGAGGTCGCGTGTTTGAATCTGGACAGAGGCAATTTTTTATCAGCTTTTATATTTCAGGCATTTTATTTTATTTTTTAAAATAATAATGGAATCAGAAAACGACTTTAGTTCCAAAAAATTAAAACCCTGATAGGAAATTTAGGATTTATTAGTTTAATCCCTAATTACAAAGTCAAATATTAAAAAACTCTTTTCTTCTTTTAGGATTTTTCCACGTTTTATTTTTTCATTGTCTCTTCCTTGCTGCCGTGAACGCTGCTGGTTGCTTCTTGTCGCTGCTGGCTGCTACTTGTCGTTGTTGTTTGCTGCTTCTGTTGGATTGGCCGTTATTGAAAAATTGAAGTCTATCCGCAATCGTTTCTTTCATCTCCATTAATAACTACTTCGATAAGTTTTTGGTTCCCTTTTTCCTTACTAGATTTCTTTATACCTTATTTCGTTATCTCTTGATATGCTTTCTTTTAGTTGGCTGATTTATTGATATCATTGAAGTTTCAATTTTTTTTGTTTGGCTAATTTTATATATTTTCTTAATCTAAAATTGGAGAGATAGAGAAATATAATTTAATAATCAAATAACCATTGCTTAAGCTTTTTGGTTTTTGTCCTTATTTTGTGTGTGCTTTTTTTTAATAGTTCTTATTGTGTGTTTAATTCTCTTAAATTCTAACTAAACTTTTACTTTACAATTCAGTCTTAATATTCAATGAAGAAGTATTTTACCCCAGTATCGAAATCAAGTTTAGCCTCTCATAGTCATAGTCAATCTAACAAAGAAGAAAATGTCAATCATTCAGAAGTACCATCACATTCTTCTCAAGAATCTGATTTGAGTACTTTAAAGTTTGATCCCAGTGAAAGAACTACAATATTGAATTATCATCCAAATCATCGTGATGTTATTAGAAGAGCATACCTTGTGAATGATATTTGTCAACCTCGCTTGGAGGTTCATGAGTACCCTCAAACAAATATTTCTGGAGCAATGCGTCACTTTAATCATGAATGGTTTGATGATGTATATCATGATTGGTTGGAGTATAGTGTTAGCAAAGATGCAACCTATTGTTTGTATTGCTATCTATTTAAAGATCATAACATTAATCAAGGTGGAGGTGAAGTATTTTCATGTACAGAATTTAAGAATTGAAATAAAAAGAGTGGTCTTGGCAAGCATATTGGTCTACCGAATAGCCCACATAATCGATCAAAAAGGAAATGTCAAGATTTACTACGACAACAACAGTCTATTCAATATGCCTTTGAGAGGCAATCTAATCAAATTAAACATGAATATTATATCCGCTTAAGTGTTTCGGTTGATGTAGTAAGACTTCTCATAACTCAAGGACTCGCATTTCGAGGTCATGATGAATCTAAATCATCACTTAGTAGGGGTAATTTTCTTCAGATTCTCTCATGGTATGCAAAAAAGTGTGATAAAAATCGTGATTATGTACTTGAACATGCCCCTCAAAATGATCAAATGACTTCTCCAATAATTCAAAAAGATATTGTGACTGCATGCAAGATAGAAACAATTAAAGTTATTCTCAAGGAACTAAATAGTGACTACTTTGCCTTACTAGTTGATGAATCTTTTGATGTTTCACTCAAGGAGCAAATGGCTTGTATTACGATATGTTGATAGACTGGGATTTGTGATGGAGCGACTTATTGACATTATTCATATTCAAGACTAGTACATTATCCCTGAAAAAGGTAATTGTTAATTTACTTGCTCAACATTCTTTGAGTCCATCAAGTGTGTGTGGACAATGTTACGACGGGGAAAACAATATGCAAGGTGAGGTCAATGGACTTAAAATGTTGATTAGGCAAGAAAGTAGATCGGCTCATTCTATACATTATTTTGCTCATCAACTTCAACTAACTCTTGTTGGGGTCTCTAAAAAGTGTGTTGAAGTGGAAAAACTTGTAGTATTGGTCTCAAATATTTTTAATGTATTGGGATCTTCTTTTAAGCGTATGGATGACTTACGAGATTCTCAAAAAATAGCAATTCAAGATGCATTAGATATGGGTGAACTGACAACTGGTAGGGACTTGAATTAACAATTTGATCTTTCAAGAGCTTGTGATACTCGTTGGGGATCTCATTATAAATCCTTTAACAATTTTATTCTTATCTTTGGTTCTATTCTTGAAGTTCTTGAATTACTTGCTCTTGATGCACGAAGTATGGACGAAAGAGTCAAGGCAACGGGACATCTTGAATCTTGTCGAACATTTGAGGTTGCGTTCATATTGCATTTGATGAGAGATGTATTAGCAATCACAAATGAGCTCAATAAATGCTTACAAAGAAAGGAGCAAGATGTTGCAAATGTCATGCTACTTGTTGAAGTAGCAAAGAAAAGGTTGCAAGTATTGAGGGATGATGAATGAAATTCTCTAATTGCTAAGGTATATATATTTTGTACCAAACATGAAATTTTGATATCTAACTTTGAGGAGCCATATGTTAGCTCTTTAAGATCATGGCGAAGGCTTGCTCACTATACAGTCTTACATCATTACCGTGTTGAAGTGTTTTGCAATATTATTGATTGACAACTTTAAGAGCTTAATGCTCGTTTTAATGAGGTAGCTACTGATTTGCTCCATGGAATTGCTTGTTTGATTCCAATTAACTCGTTTTCAAGTTTTGACAACAAAAAAATAATGAGGATGGCTCAATTATATCCAGATGATTTTGATGAATTTAATATGAATACTCTTGAGAATCAACTTGCAAGTTACATTGTTGATGTTTATGATGTTGATGAAAGGTTCTCTGATCTAAATGGACTTTGTGATCTTTCCAAAAGATTAGTCCAAATGAAAAAATATCCAAATTATCCTCTAGTGTTCCGCTTAGTGAAACTTGTTCTACTTCTACCAGTTGCCACTGCATCCGTTGAAAGAGCTTTTTCGGCAATGAAGTTTATCGAGAATGACTTGCGAAGTCAAATGAGTGATGATTTTTTTAGTGGTTGTTTGGTGCCTTTTGTAGAAAAAGATGTATTTGATAGTATTCCTAATGATGCTATAATTAAGACATTTCAAGATATGAAACCTCGTAGAGTACAATTGTAATGATCTATTTAAGTTTTTAGATATACGTGCTCTAAATTAATTTTTTTTATCCGACCCATTTATATCTGATTCGACCCACTTATTTGTGGATATTATTTACATGATTAATTTTTTTTTGAACACCCTTGATGAAAATCCTCCCTCCGCCACTGGGCTCGGGTATCACACTTGGTACATATTATCGATTGGTTCAGGTACCACATCAATTATAGCATATCTATCGATTGGCTCGGATACCACTCCTAATATATATTATATAACAATTGGCTGGATATCATGCCTGTTACATGTTTGATTGTTTACCTGCATGTTTGTTCTATGAGTGAATTAGGTTTTACTCTTCATAATATAATTGTTACATGTTGATCCATGGCAAGAACTTTGTGTTTAAGTGTTGAAGGGTTCTTGTGAACACCAAGATTGTTTCACCTTGACGTTATGAAAATTATTAGGTATTAACCTAGGATTGGTAACCTATGAGTAACTAGACTCTGAGTTGAAAATTGTATAAGAAGACTCGTTTCGGGTAGGTGATGGTTGATTTTATTTCCCGTTTACATTGTATGTATATGTCAACGATTTTGCTAGTATTACTTGTACAATACGTGGTTATTAGGGAGATGAGAAGGATTAAACTGAAATGATATCTTGTTGACGATCTCATGCAATGAACTTGTCCTAGTTTATTGTGTTTTACAAATGTGATTGTACTCATTGTGATTGTGTGTTATGTGATACTCGGTTGACTCGAGCTCGGGTACCACACATGGTACATATTATTAATTGGTTTGTGTACCACATCTAGTACTAAATATCTCTCGATTGGCTCAGGTTATACGACGTCTGGTGCATATTATTGATTGGCTCGAATACCACGTCTAGTACTTGATATCTCTTGATTGACTCGGATATTACGTGTGGTACATATTATCGATTGACTTGAATACCATATCTGATGTGAAATATTTATCAATTGATCTGGAGATCACGTCTGATATTGGTTCAATATCGATCGAATCGGATACCACAAGTGGTACATGTTTGATTTTTCATATGTGTTCGTTCTATGAGTGAATCGAATTTTACACTTCGTAATATATTTCCTACATGTTGATCCATGAATGCTGAAAATTTTGTGTTTAAATGTTTGAAGAGGTTTATGTGAAGACTTGGATTGTATTTTAAACACCATAGGTGATATTTTAGGGATCCTGGATAGTCCAAACTACTTGAAAAAATTGTAGACCGGTTATTGTTGGCACGAGAGCCTAATTGGTGATAGTAGACCGGTTAACAAAGTTAGTGGTAGATTTGGATTCATGAATGGAAATAATAGGGGAGTGCTAAAGTTGGTAGAGTGAGTAGTTTTGAAAAATCTTTATGTGATAAAAGGGTTAGGCTATGATGAGATAGGAGGGTGGAATGGTCTAGATGGTGGAGTTGATAGCGGAAATGAGGTGGGTTGACTTGAGTTGGAATGTAAGAATTCAAAGGTAGTATTACAAGATAGTAGGGGTGGTGATTGAATGATTGAAATTATAATTATATTTTCAAGTTTCTCGTTTCCTTTGATTATTTACATGATATTATATGGTGGATTCGAGTCGATAGATGATGCCTATCATTACGTGTTATTTGTTATGTACTACTCTTGTTATGCCACTTGGCATAGTCTGGTTGCAGTATTAGTGAGGTTTCTTAAGTGAAGACGACGACGATCTCTGATAATTTTTACGTCTCTTTCTGTTGGAGTTGTGTATTATTGTTTTCAGATATTGCATTCTCTTAGAGGCTCTTGTACCTGTTTAGATTAGTTCTAAGGAGGATTTTGTGTATTTTCAGGGACATTTTATTGTTATAAGAATTAAAAGTCATTTTGTATTTAAAACAACGTGATAAATTGAATTTTGCTTACTTCCATGGTCTTAATGTTTATCTAGGTGTTAGAGGGAGTGTCGCATGGCCCAATAAGTTGGAGCGTGACAGTGTTTGACGATATTTGAAACTTTCTCTAACTGGACTTTATATTTTCTTTCTAAGTGACATTCACATCCAAATACTAATTCAAATTTTCAAAAACCACATTTTTTAATTTAAATATAAAAAATCTAAAAAATTTATTTCAAAATCTATGGTAAAATAAAAGCTTTTCAATTCGGAATAAACATACTTTTCCGCCTAAAATATGTAAAGGACATTTACTCTACCCTCTAAATCTAATTATACTACAATTGTATGACAAAAAATAATTTTGAAATAAATAATATATAATATTATATATAACCATAAATCATCTGGTGCAATAGAGACAATAAATAAATGAAAATGTTTTCATTCTTTTTGTAATTTAATTTTTCGTTCAATATTCGGTACTCGTATTAGAGTTGGATTAACTCAGATTCTTATTGTGAAAGGTATATTAGGGGAAACGAACCCCACCAAGAATTTTCTTATACCAGAGCTCGAAATTAAGACTATTGATTAAGAAAAAAACAATTCGCTCCAGTGCACCACGTTTTTATGATAATCTGCAATTAAAAAGTAATTTATACTTTTTAAATTTAAAGATAATTTTTTGTTGATAATTATTACTTTTAAACTATATCCCCAACTTAAAATACCTCCTCAAATTATTTTTCTTAATAGAAAACATCCCTCAATTATTTAAAATTTGACAACTTACATCCTTTTGTTAAAATTTGTCAAAAATTAACAAATTCTTCACAAAAACATGTTCAGTTCACACTACTCTCAACAAAACTCCCTAAATCGCCCTCAATAAACCAATTTTGTTCATTCTACATACATCTAAAATAAAATATTGTGAATTTTTTTTATCAACAACGTTTTGCATTGTCTTCCTTTTAATTAACAATTTTGTTTTATTTACTTTTCATTTGATTTGATATCAAAAAATTATCCGTTGAAATGTTTTCTTCTCATTGAATCTGCAAAAAGTGGTGTCGATCGGAGACTTTTACTTCTAATTATGGAAAACGAAACTCGAGTACTAGAGATCAAAATTAGCTGAATCTTGATTACCCCAACTATCAGTTTGTCCCAAAAAATTATTGGTCTAACAACATTTTGACTTTGTAAGGTGAAAATGATGTAAAATTAAGCTCCAACTCCATTCAGTTGGTAAAGGAGAAGAGTAGATCATGTCTCCTCGTAAACTCACACCGTCCTAAGTTTGTTTTTTTTTTAAAGAGCAAACAAGGGTCTCAAAAAAATAATTAATTTTTGGAAGCTTTTTCCAACAAGTAATAAAATTATAGATTCTTTTTTTTTATGAGAATAATATGAATTTCATATGTTTTGTGTGGAATTCACTAATTTTTTGACAAATTTTAATAAAGGGATGAAAGTTGTTAAGTTTTAAATACTTGGAGTATGTTTTTTGTTAAGAAAAATAATTTAAGGATGTAGTTTAAGTTGAGGGTATAGTTTAAGGATGTTTTTAGCCAAAAAACTAGCTCTTAATTTGGCAACAAAACAAACTCATAGTGATGTTATTCAATCTAAAATTTATTTACTAGGTTAACCAAATATTTATAAGATTGAGATCACAAGTAAAATAATTAATTCAAGTCTAATTGATTTTTTTATTATACAAAATTTATAAAAATAATGTGATAGTACTACAAATCAATTAATCAAACTACAATAATAAAGAGGGAAAGAGGAGTGATTCTTATTAATTGAGGTGTGTTTATCATGAGTCAATAATAGTGTGTATCATGTTTCTACTATTTGAAGTTGAAATGATTAGTTGCATCTAAGTGTGAGTGTGAGTGTGTATCATGTTTCTCCTATTGACTCCACCTCAATTTTGAAATGAGAACAAAATTTAACATCATATTTCTTGATTTAACATTTATAAGAAAAACTTACTAAATTATTTATGTGTTAGTTCTTTAATTTCAATGTTTGATTGAAGGAAGTAACTATCTAAAATGTCTTCATCAAAATTCTAAATGCATTCAGTAATTGTGCCTTCTTTTCTTAGAGAGTATAAAAAAACTATCAGAAGTTATATCATATGACATGGTTATTTGCTTGATATCTTTTTTTAGTGCTGTTTTTAAAAAAAAAATATAGATAAAAAGGGAGAAACTATATAAATTGAACTCATTCGGTAAAATATTTATCTAAATTGGACCTAATTCAATATATTTATTCTGATTGGAGTCATGACTCAAACTATTTATCCGATTGCCTGCTTGTTCTATTCACTGAACCACGACTTTTTCATCCTTCATACCATCAGAGTATATATAGAGTCTGATGGTATCAAACAATAATTGGACAGTTTTTCACTACACTGTATGTTCCTCCCTGATGGCATCAAAGTATATATATACTCTAATGGTATCAAGGAGTAATTGAGTATCCAACTCCTTGCTACTTCATTTGATTGTTCTGTGCATCTAAATCAGGTTCTTTAAAATTTCTACACATTTGCTTCATTCACAAATTTTTCCAAAGGTTATGATTTTGAAAATTAGGTTTATTCACATATTATTATTCATCTTGCAAGGAGAGTTGTTTCGGATAACTATGAGGAAAGTTTTAAAAAATTATAATTTTTAATTATATGTATATTAATATTTTGTTCTCGTGATTTCTTAAGAATATGTTTCATTGTTTTTCAACAAAATAAAAAGGTTGGGGGTGCAAATCTATTACTAATATATAAGTGTGGATAATCACACAACACGTATGTATCATCATTTTAGCTGCTTCTATCTCAACCGTTAAATATGTGCTTCTCTAATTAAAAAATAACACGTAAAGAACAACAATTAAATTGTCTGCAATTTTTTTTGCTCTTTGCCGCTAAATACTATGCCAACCACTTTTTTTTTACAGTTTTGTGGTTCATTTACATATCATTGATAATTTATTTTGAACCTTCAGCATTTTAATTTGTTTATCTTATTTCTCTTTTTAGCATGTTATATATTTAAAAATTACGTAAAAAGTATTATAAATTAGAA